TTGATTTCCCAAAGTTTGAGAAGAGGATGACTAATGCTTAAAAAAGGGTTAGGGTTTTACTCGTTTTTAGATTATCTGAATTTTGATCTCCAGTTTTAAGAAGATTTTACTGTTTTCCTTCTTGTGGATTATAGTTATTATTATTTGGTTTTAATCCTTTGCACGTGGTTTTATATTTGTTTTATAAGAATTAAATAAAAATGATTAATAAAAAAAATTAGATGGAAATTGTAAAAAAAAATATTTGTTTTTAATATGATAATTAATTTGATTTATTTTTTGATTTATTTATTTTTGACACGTGGTTTTTTTTTTTTTTTTATTTACTATTTTTATCTAACATTTTTTACTTTTTAAATGAATTCTAACCAATCAAAGGTAATTAATTTGAATCGGGCTTTTTAAATTTTCATTTTCATTTTAATTTTCGCGATTAAGACAACCGACAAATTAATTGGTATCGAAAGGGCAGTACAAGACTGCTAATCATTCCTTGACTGTAACCGACTCCCGAACCCGACACATTTCTGGTAAAACGCGGATCAAGTAAGATGGTGTATGACCGACCTAAATTCGTTTAAAAATGGTCGGTGGCGACTCTAACACTCATTATTCACGTCGAAACCCAATTACGGGCTCAACCGAGAGACGGTTCCGACACATAGCATGTGGCATGTAGACCAAGAAATAACGCAAGGGGTACAAGTACGACAATTAACATAGCATGTGGCATGTAGTTCCTTTGTATCATGGTTCAAAATTTTTTTCTCTAATCGGTTAATGATTTTTTAAAAATATTAGTTCAATTAATGATTAAAAATTTTATGGATTCGATTAATTTGATTTGAAATAGTACGGTTCGATTATAAATTAAACTCATTGTTTAAACACATTTACTTATATTAACTCTGAATCTCTTATTTTATCTCATTTTTCCTTTTCCTTTTTTATTTTTTCTTATTTTCTCTTCAGCTAATCGATCGTTGGGTTGTCTTTCAATTGTATCTATCATATTCGTTAGTCACCGTCTACCACCATCAATAGTGGTTGTTTGATACCAAAGTTTACAGTTAGATTTTTTATGTCAGTTTGAAAAAACATGTTGATGCTCATAGATCTAGGTCAAAATTTTCAGCTTCTTCCTCATTGAATTTTCAATTCAACCATCAAATGACGTTCATTTCATTTATGTCTATGTTATATCTTGTGCCCTTATGGAACCACTTCACCATTTAAATCTTCCAACAAATCTCTGAAACACTTAAAATCATTAAAAATAATGAAGGTGAGAATATCGTTTTAGGGGTTTTTCAATCTAAGATCCATCCTTGTTTTTATATTTCGATGAACATTTTAGATGGAGTGAAACAATTATTTTTTTTATCAGAATGTGAGGATGAACTTGTTTTAAATGCATTTACATCGTGTAATTTAATGAACTTGTCTCGAATACATATTTTTCCTAAATTTAGATAAATTTGTGTCTCAATAAAGACTTCATGACATCATTATACATAATTTATAAAATATTGAAAAAAATATCTTTATGAGAGATTGTAAAAGTTATCTCCAGAGAGACTCCAAAAGGATTTCATTTTTATCTTAAGGGATAAAATTTTATTTGTCCCAACAAAAAAACACGATATTGATTGTTGGGAGTTATATTGATTATTCGACAGATAATACTACTAGGACTTATCCCCATTGAAAATTACCTTTAAGATTAAAGTCATGGATTCAAATTTCACCAACACCTAACAATTTCATGTTTTTGGTAGATCATTCCAAGACAACATATGAGCTGCACTGTTGGACGGAGAGAAGGTTCTGAAGGCTCTTGTTTGGATTCAATCTAGGCCATCAATCTTCTGTGATCAAATCTAATTGTAAGTATTTTCCTGGTGTTAATGGCGGTTGGAAAGGGTTGTTAAAAACCCTAGTTGCTTCCCACTTTTGGGTCTGTTGAACCTTTGCTTGGGGTTTCACTAATTTTTGGGCCTTGTAATGTATTGGGCTTTGTAATCCATTCTTGGAGATTGTACTGGACCTAGAAACATGAAATAAAAAATTAAATAATTGTTTTAGCCCTTATATGTATTTAAATTAACCCACATATTTAAATAGGCAATATTAAGCAAATTAATTGATGTTATTATATGTATATAAAGACATACATATTTATATAAGTAAAGCTCAAACAAAAATCCCGAACAAAAATGTGTATTTACAGAATTATGCATGAATTATTCATTTTTTATAAATAAAGTATGTATCATATAAATTAATATATTTAACATATTTATTTTATTATTTCATATGGTATGAATACATAACATGATTTTATTTATTTTGTTATTTCATATGGGGCGAATACATAAATTGATTTTATGTTGTTTTAATTTATCTAAAAATATCCGCACTCATACAAATTATATGTTGGTTACATATTTTGATGTGTAGTAATTTTATTTTGAGTTTGAATACTTGTTTTTGTAATTTTCGATATAATTTTTAAAAATTAAATGATGAATACAGACCATATATAGATCAGTAATCCACAATTATAATATTTAAGAAACAAAACATTTATGAAACATAATTCTTAGAATTATAATTATAGACGGTTTTTCATGGTGTCTTCAATTATTATTCTGTTTGAAGATGCATCATCGGTTTCATTATTTTTTATAGTCCAATTAATAGATTGTGATCAAAGGCTCAAATATTGGATAATATATTAAAAAATAAAATGTGACACTGAGTTTGAGCTTCACGGTAAATTTTCATTCTGCCATGCTTAATCGGTAGGATCAAGGATGGACCGAGAGAATGTTGGGAGTGCAGTTGAATTTTTTAAAAAATTTAAACCATCTTTTATTTGAAATATGTTTTTTATATTTTATACAAATTATTTAATTTCGTATTTATTGAGATTTTATAATTTGTACCTTTAAAATTTTAATATAAATTTTCAAGTTCGAGTCCTCTAACATAAATTCATGCTCCTGTCATCTTGTCATTAAAATTTATGTTAGAGGACTCGCTGTAAAATAATTTGTACCTTTTAATTTTGAAGTCGGATTGGAGGCTCACTGTAAAATAAAATTTTTGAAATAATTTTCTGCATTAATCCAATCATCTTGTCATTTAAAGGAGCATGTATTGATTTTTGTTTTTTCAATTCATACTTTCTTTGAAAAAAAATTATTAGATATTAAACTATTTGATAGTCATAATCTCATTGTTCGAAAGGATTGTTCTTTTCATTGTTCAAGGATTGTTCTTTTTGGCAGGGGCAACATGCTTTGGTTTATCACGTAAGTATATATATTATAACTCATCAAGTAGCTTCAATTATAAAAGATTCTAGAGATCATAGGTTTGAGCAGTTGGGTTTGTAGGATGTCTATACGTAATCAATTGATTAAAAAATTCTTAACAAATATTATCTTATACTATTAAAAAAAATACATGAAATGTGACATAGGAATGGATTGATCTCAAAGAGGTAATTGGATATAATTCTCAATCAAGTCTTGTTTTCTTTGTATTCAGCAAAAAATTTCGAATCTTCAAACAAAAGTGAAACAATTCAAATTTCTTGCATCCAAAAATAAACTACTCAAGATTAAGAATTAAATCTTGTTTTCATAGACTTGTTCTTCTTGTTACATGCAAGTTTAAAGATTTGTTTATTTATTTATTTTTGCAGAAGCGCAAAGAAGAAGGTGTTTGTTTTTGTTTTCAAAGGCCATGGATTTATCAAAATGTGCACATGGGATTGCCTCTACATATCTTAGTAAACAAAAGAGGCACGTCACATGCATGTTTTCATCACATAGTTTTTGACTCCTTTCTTTCTTTATTTTTAGGTAGTACCTATATTATTACTTCTGTTCCATTTTAGTACCTATATTTTATTTTTTAAAAACATACCCAACGTTTAGTTTAGGTTTCAATTTGGTATCCTATCATTAAAAAATTAATGGCAGCGATGACATTGAATTATTTCCCCTTTTGAATATTCCATGTGTCTTATCATATAAATTTCACGTCATCTATGCCGTTAAGTTTTTAACGGCGGGGTATTAAATTGAAACCTAAACTAAATATTAGAAATGATTTTGAAAATAAATTAAAATTTTGGTACTAAAATGAAATAAAAGTGATAGTTTAGATCCTTAACTTAAATTTATTATTTAGTGCAAATCCATGGTTGGCTAAGATGTGACCCGCCTCATCTATAGACAATACACTTGATCAGAACTCAATCGTGCACCCAACCAATTCCTGTTTTGCATTTATAAATTATTTTAAAAAAATTATATCCTTTTATCAGTCCTTGTACTATGCCTATATTATGGATTTAATTTTTTATATTTAATTCGATCATTTTTAATCTATATTCTTTTCAATTTGAAAATTTTTATCTTTACTCACATAGTAGTTATTAAATGATATGTTAAATCAAATTTATTTTTTTATTTTTACAATAAGATAAGTTTTTATTATTTTTAACAATAATATTAAACACTTCAATTTTAAATTAAGCATATCAAAATCACGTTAAACTAGTCTCTAGACTCTTCATTGATTAGATTAGATTAGATCAAGACATAACTCAAAATTGCATATTTCTTATTCAGATTTATTTTATTTTTAAAATAATGAAATATTATTTAATATTAGTAAAAAGTTGAATTAATAAATAATAAATTCAAATAACGAACCACTTTTCTACCAAATATAAATGTATGGAACGAGCATTAAAATTAGAAAGTCAAAAACAACACCTATAACCATTTAAATAATTTGATGGATCAATGCCCACTGCCCACCCATACCTGTCTAAATGGGACCTTTCCCAAATCATTATATATATTCCATATGTCCTGTAATATTTGTGTATTTTAACCATTTAATTAATATAATATATTTTAACCATTTGATCACTATATATACAGCCTCTTCTTGGTCTCTTGTTCCCATTATTTGAAGGAAGCTTAATTTTTATTCGTCAATGGCCGCAATAACATCTCTCTCGCACCGTACCTTATTCAACACCAAAAACTCTAACCTCTACTCCCTCACTCTCCTCGCCGTTCTCTGCATCACTTTTTACTTTATTGGAATATGGCAACAGTCTTTAGGCTCCATCCCCAAGTCTTCCTCCTCTGCCGCCGCCGGCATCCTCTCCTCCGACCCTTGCTATTCCTTTCCCACCGCCCAACTCGACTTCACATCCCACCACCTCCCTCCCGATCCACCTCCCACCGCGGCGATGCCTGCCCCCCAATTCCCTCCTTGTGATCCTTCCTTCTCTGAATACACCCCATGCGAGGACGCTCGAAGATCACTCAAGTTCGACAGGGACATGCTCATTTACAGACAGAGGCACTGTCCCGAAAAGGACGAACTTTTAAAGTGTCGGATACCGGCTCCCTACGGTTACAAGGTTCCTTTTAGATGGCCTAAGAGTAGAGAGCTTGCATGGTTCGATAACGCGCCGCACAAAGAGTTGGCCGTCGAGAAAAAGAACCAGAATTGGATTAAGGTCGAGGGGGAGCTGCTCAGGTTCCCCGGCGGCGGGACCATGTTCCCACGTGGAGCCGAAGCGTATATTGATGATATTGACAAGTTGATCAATCTCAAAGATGGCTCTATAAGGACCGCCATTGACACTGGTTGCGGGGTACGTACGTTCTAATTAGCATCTTTTTACGTTCATGGTTAATTTTTTGATCTGTTGGGACAGATAGAAAATTAGAGGGAATTATGGAAAAGGAAAATTAATTGGTGGGAAGGATCGATCCCGCAAATAATTCGTTTGATTCTTTCCTTTTGTTATACTTAAAGTATTCGACACGGAGAATTAGCGACGGAATGTACCATTTTTAAAATTTATAATTAAGTAAACTACCTATTTAGTGACTCGATTATTCACACAATTTTATTTTAACCGTCTTACTTTTTTTAAATCATTTATAATATTATGTTTTGATTTTATTTTAGTTACCAATATCTTTTTAATAATTGGTGTTAAAATAAAACTAAAGCCTAAAGTTAGATATGATTTAAAAAAAGAAGTTGGATGACCAAAACATAATCACACGAATAATTAGATACCTAAATATGTAATTTATCTTTTATGATTATTTTAAAAATTCCTATTTAAGAGAATAAGAATTTTACTCTTAATAAATATATTATTTTTAATTTACAGAAGGAGGATTAATCATCAAGTGAGAAATATTATTATTTTATGGAATACCATTCATTTATTCTATGGAATCGTTGTTTATAAAAAAAATTAAAATGATTATAAAATTTAAATTATATAATTAAACGGAAGCTACATTCTTAAGTAAAACCCAGGAACTATTACAGGACAATGGATTGATGTGGAAATTAAAAATTGTCATTTACAATATGATTTATAATTTTAAAGAGATTCCATATGCGCATGTTGTGTTTAGCAAATGCTTAGGTGAGATGCAGCATAAAGTCAAAAATCTACTTTGCCAACTGTATATGGCTTTTCTAGGCAAATTTGTGCTACACTTTCAAGTAAAGTGGTTCACCGATACCAAACCATTTTTATTTAGAAAGGATATTGTCGGAAAGGTTAGAAATTTAGATTACACGAAATTATAAAATTTTAAGATTATGAAATTAGCATATTAATAAAAGGTAAAATGTTGAAACCCATTTATGAATGGAGCAAATTGGATTTAGAGGGTAGTTATATAATAAGTTAGTGTAAAATTTGACTCGGATGAATATATCGTTAAATCAAATACCAGTAGGTATAACAAAAAAAATGAAATTTCTAGAGATACAATTGTATCTCAACATCCCCTCGATCTATCACTGAACTAATTAAGTTGATTCAGGTTGCAAGTTGGGGAGCATACCTATTATCGAGGAACATCCTAGCAGTGTCATTTGCACCAAGAGATACCCATGTTTCTCAAGTCCAATTTGCTCTTGAACGAGGTGTCCCTGCACTCATAGGAGTCATTGCCTCCATTAGACTCCCTTACCCTTCAAGAGCTTTCGATATGGCCCATTGCTCCCGTTGCCTCATCCCTTGGGGTACCTACGGTAAAACTAAACCCCCTTCTTCAATTCGAATGCTCTAGTTGGTGCCCATTTGCTCGAGTCCTAATGCTGCTTGTTATGGCAGATGGGATTTATTTGATCGAGGTTGATAGAATCCTACGTCCCGGTGGGTATTGGATTCTGTCGGGACCGCCGATCAACTGGCAAAATCATTGGAGAGGTTGGAATCGAACGACTGATGATCTTGAACAAGAACAGTCTCGAATCGAGACCGTGGCTAAAACCCTGTGCTGGAAAAAGATTGTACAAAAAGGTGATCTTGCCATTTGGCAAAAACCCACCAATCATATCCATTGCAAAGCTAACAGAATGGTCTTCAAGCAGCCTATGTTTTGCCACTCTCAAAACCCTGACATGGCATGGTCAGTCTCATTCTCTTTTCCATTTACTTGATACTCTCCATCAAAAGCTTTTGACCAAGAAGATTTTCAATTTGTGGAACAGGTACACAAAATTGGAGAAATGTCTAACCCCATTGCCTGAAGTATCTAATATAAAGGAAGTTGCAGGTGGGGCATTACAAAAATGGCCGGAGAGGCTGAATGCAATCCCTCCAAGAATCAGCAGCGGAAGCTTAACAGGGATCACAGAAAACATGTTTGTAGAGAACACAGAGCTATGGAAGAAGAGAGTAGAATATTACAAGAAAATAGATTATCAACTAGCCGAGACAGGGAGGTACCGCAACTTGTTAGACATGAACGCTTATTTGGGAGGCTTTGCAGCTTCTCTCGTCAATGATCCTCTATGGGTCATGAACACCGTCCCCGTCGAGGCGGATCAGATCAACACCCTCGGAGTCATCTACGAACGTGGATTGATCGGAACATATCAAAATTGGTATTTCCTCCGTTACAATCAGTAACATTATCGTTTTGGTGGGGATAATTTGATTAAAGATGAACTTTTGTGTCTTACTAGGTGTGAGGCAATGTCTACTTATCCTAGGACTTACGACTTTATCCATGCTGATTCCATTTTCAGCCTCTACAAAGACAGGTAACAAATAAAGCTAAACGAACGTATTCATGATGAATTATGATAATGAGGACTAATGGTTCGACAATGCAGATGCGAAACGGAGGATATCCTTCTGGAAATGGATAGAATTTTACGACCAGAAGGCAGGTTAATCATTAGGGACGATGTCGATTTGCTGTTGAAAGTAAAGAAAATTACAGATGGTATGCAATGGGAGGGAAGAATTGTAGACCATGAAAAAGGACCCCATGAAAGAGAGAAGATTCTTTTTGCAGTTAAGCAATATTGGACTGCACCACCACCATTGACACCTGAACAAGACCAATAGGGAATTAGAACGGCTTTCTAGCTCTTGTAAAAGAAAAGGGAAAGTTTGTTTTTTCTATTTCTTAAATTTTAATTTTTCATTTTTCAGTTTGCACGTTGAAATATCTTATTGATTATCAACGGATGGAATATGTAAGTTAAACCAAAGATGAAATTAAAGTTGGAGAGATCATGTTATGTCAAACAAAAGTAGATACACTAGATCTTCATTTTATTTAAACACTGTTTGTTGTTTCTTTCTTTTTTGTTTTGGTTCAATGGTTCGAAACAATCGATCGTCTTTGACAACCAAATATTCTAGGGGGAAAAGAAAGAGAAAAGGCCGATGGATCCCACATGAAGTGTGGGGAAGCAGGGGTGGGTAACAAAACGAGGATGAAATTAAATGCGAAACGGGCATCATTAGATTATTGTCTTCCCCTTCATTCCAAATAAATTAATATTTCCAGAATCAGATTGCAAATAACAAACTTCTTGGCAAGAACTAACTCTTGTGCCCCCCTCTTTTGTCTCGTAAAACATTCCCCCATCAACTGCAAGGGCGCAGTGCTCGTGCTTGTTGCTTCCATAACCTCCCAAACGAAGAGGGGAAAAAGTGGGTAACATTTCCAAGCTCAAATGGGGATGAAAGGATATATGCATGTGACGTGACAAAACATCAGTAATGTTGAAAACCATGAACATGAAACATGTGTTTGTGGACATGCGTGAATGAATAAACGGGAATATACGTAATACCAAAATGTATGTGATAAAATATATTACACAAAATCTTAAAACATTAAGATATATAAATATATAATTTTTTAAAATAAAAATATAACTAATATAAATAAACGATAATATACGTAATACCAAAATGTATATGATAAAATAAACTTGGATTTTAGAAAATAAATATATTGAGATGCGGAGACGAATCTACGTGGGAGGTGGGAGGGCAATTGCCCCCTAGTTTTGATGGTTTAATTAGTTTTAGGTCGCTAATATTTTTAAAACATTACAATTTAGCTCTTACCTTCCTAAAATTTATTGGTTTAATTATATTTTAGGACCCTTTCAATTTTAAAATGAAACTTTGACTTCTAATTTTTCTAGTTTAATTACTCTTTAAAACCCTTCAATTTTAAAATTAATGAAATCAAACCATAACTTTCCACTGTTTATTTATTTAAAATTAAAGATTTATTTATTTTAAAGTTAAACCACTTCTTTCTTCATAATTCAATCTTACTTCGATTGTCCCGGTTGAGATGGCTTAGTTGTTTGGGTGTACTTAAGATGAAGCCAGTGTCGGCTAAACATAGCATGTGGCATATAGACCAAGAAGTAACGTAAGGGGTACAAGTACGACAATTAACAGAGTGAAGCATTTAGATGCATTTAGATTTTAGCCGCCCAATTGCTCAATGATAGTTGTAAGTGAGTTCCTTTGTATTCATGCAAGGATTACATGGTTCAAAAAATTTGACTATAATCGATTAATGATTTTTTTAAAAATATTTGTTAAATTAATGATTAAAAATTGTATGCATTCGGTTAATTTGATTTTAAATAGTACAGTTCGATTATAAATTAAACTCATTGTTTAAACACATTAATTTACTGATATTAACTCCAAATATCTTATTTTATTTCATTTTTCCTTTTCCTTTTTTATTTTTTTTCTTATTTTCACTTTAGCTAATCGGTCGGTGGTTTGTCCTTCAAATGTATCTATCATATTCGTCAGTCACCGTCGTCCACCATCAATAGTGGTTGTTTGATATCAAAGTGTACAATTAGATTTTTTATGTCAGATGTTGATGCTCACATATCTAAGTCAAAATTTTCAACTTCTTCCTCATTGAATTTTCAATTCAACCATCAAATGACGTTCATTTCATTTCCGACTATGTTATATCTTGTGTCCTTGCGGAATCACTCCACCATTTAAATCTTCCAACAAATCTCTCAAACACTTAAAATCATTAAAAAGAATGAAGGTGAGAATATTGTTTTAGGGGTTTTCAATCTAGGATCCATCCTTGTTTTTATATTTCGATAAACATTTTAGATGGAGTGAAACAACTAATTTTTTTAATCAGAATGTGAGGACGAACTTGTTTTAAATGCATTTACATCGTATAATTTAATGAACTTGTCTTGAATACATGTTATTCCTAAATTTAGATAAATTTGTGTTTCAAGAAAGACTTGATGACATCATGATACAAAATTTATAAAATATTGAAAAAATATCTTTAGGAGAGGTTGTAAAAGTTATCTCTAGAGAGACTCCAAAAGAATTTTATTTTTATCTTAAGAAAAATAAAATTTTATTTGTCCTAATGAAAAACATGATTTGATTGTTGGGAGTTATATTGATTACCCGACATATATTACTACTAAGCCTTATTCCCATTGAAAATTATCTTTAGGGTGCGTTTGGTTCATGGAATGTAGCATTACCTTTGGGAATAGAATTACCAGAATGTAACATTACCTAACACATTACTGGGAATGTTGCATTATTGTGTTTGGATCGTTTAACATGAATGTAAGATTACAGTGTTTGGTTAAAGGAATAAAAGATTATTAGAATGTATATTTTACCAAATTATCCTTATTATATATCGGGTTTTTTAACAAGTTGAATTGTAAATATTCAAATGAAAATATTTGTATAAAAGATCATAAAAATATATAATTTTACTATTTTTAATTTATACATTTAAAAAAAATCATAAAATTTATATAATTTTTTTACAAAATTTAAATGATAAACAAGTTTAATGAAAGGGTTTAATTTTATTTTAACCCCTGAACTTCATATAAAATTCTAATTATGGACTTTTTTTTGTAAATCTAAAATAGTTTAAGGATAAATTTGCAATTTAACCTTCGAAGAATTTTTTTATTCAACGTCAAAAGAATGATATCTGTGGAAAAAAATTTGTTAAAGGCATTTTTATCCAAAACGCCTCGAATGTAACAATACCTAAGGGATTTGGGGGAATCACATTCCTGCTAATAAGCCCCCAAAATACCACTGTTGGGAATGGCTTATTACCGGGGGTTGGGAATCTTTGCAATCCAAAAGGAGGAATCACATTCAGGAAAAAAATTTCCCCTGGTAATCTCACAATCCCCCATCCAAACGCACCTTTAGGGGGCGTTTGGTTCACGGAATGTAAGATTACCTTTGGGAATAACATTATTGGAATGTAACATTACTATGGGAATATTGTATTACCTTGTTTGGTTTGTTTAGTTGAATGTAAGATTACAGTGTTTGATTGGAGGAATATAATATTACTTGGATGCATATTTTACCAAATTATCCTTGTGATATATTTTTTAAAGTTAAACTTTAATATTAATGTAACACCCCAATCATTGGGTCAGTGACAAAAATGTAAGAATTCAAATCTTAGTGGTTTGATTAGAATAATTTAAAAAGTTAAAGATTTAATTACGGAATTTTGTGTAGGATTTGGTATTAAATTTGGATTAGTGGAAGGGAAATATGATCTTTTCTCAATGAAAGATTTTTATCTCATCTTTTAAGGGATAAGCACGTGGTAGAGAAAAGAAAAATCTCGAGCTTAAGTTATCTTCTTTCTTCTTGCTCGTGGAAGCAACTTCAAAGGTAAGCTTCTGAAATTTGTTGGTTCCTTCAATTTTTGGGTTGGTGTTGAAAGCTTGGGTGTTAGATAAGCTTAAGGAAAACTTGTATAAGATTAAAACAACAAGAGGAGTGAATTAGAAATTAATTTGTAAAATGGGTTTTGAGATGAATGATTGATATGGTGTAGTTTTTGGAGTCTTATTGATATTTTTGACTTGTTAAGGATCTAACTAAAGAGTTAGGAGGATTAGAAATGATTAAGAACTTGTTTAAAATTATTGTATGATTTTGAGAGGTAAGAGTTTTAGTGAGATTTTATTTTTTTAGGAGTAATAAATGGAGGTAAGTTGGCTTTGATGAATGAAGTTGAGTTTAAAGGTATAAAAGGAAGTAAAAGTAGGAGATTAGTTAAGTTTTAGGTAATTTTCGAAATGGAAATGGTAAATTATGGGTATGGGTATCGATACTGTAAGAACAGTACCGATACTTCAAGGCTAAATCAATTAAAAATTAAGGAGCAGTATTGGTATTGATTGAAGGGTATCGATACTGAAAGGGGAGTATCGATACCAAGAGTAAGGTATCGATACCATTTTCAAGTTGAAATTCCAGTATGTCGAAATGGTATCGGTACCGAAAGGAGGTATCGATACCATAGAAGGGAAGTATCGGTACTGACGTGGGAGTACCGATACTATTAAGCATAAAATGAGAAATTAAGTGTTTATTTCAGCTTAAGTTATTATGATTGGATATAAGTGATTTGAATTCCGATATTTATTTTCGATTGTTTTGTGTAGACGTTGAACAAAATCAACTTCCGGTCAACTCGACATTATAAGTTTCAATCAAAAGTGTTAAGGACTTCGTTTAGGACTTCACTGAGGCAAATGTGAGTGCAACTCATTGGATTCGAGGGCGGCTTGCCATAAACCAACCTCAAAGTTTTCGATCGAAAACCTGTCAAATTATTTTATTTTATATTTTTACAATGTTTTATTCAAGTTATATTATTTAAGCTATGTTTTGATGTTTATGGATGCATGACTATGAAAATGTGAAATGTGAATACAAAGATATTCGATGTGAAAATGCCAATGTGAATAAGATATACTTCGAATAATGAATGACAAATAATTATGTGGTTAAAAGCCCAAGGTATATATATGAGGATTAGATGTGTAGTTGACATGCCAAGAGTCGAGGGTTCTACGTGGTCATTCGGTAGAAAACCTATGTGGTCCTTCGGGAAAATTATGTGGCACTTCAGTGCAAATTATACGAGCTGTGGTGACATTATTAGTGCATATCCTCAATGTACTTAAATACCTAGAGTTCTCAGAAGTATACGTTGGGCATTGAAAACAAAATATATAAAATGAATAATGTATAACACCATACATTCTTGTTATGGATAATCATTTGAAATCCTT